GGAAGGGAGAGGTGGTCATAACGGGCAGCAAGGTCTACTGTTGAGAGCTGGATCATATCCAATTTCAGAAGAGGTCTGGAAGGAGGGAAATCTTACTATAGCAGGTCGAACATAGATGCCAAGTTGGTAACTGGGTTAGTCTTAACTTGTAATTTAGATAACAATGTGGGCTACAGCGCTTGTCATTTAGAGATAGTTCTCATATGCTATCTGCTGACAAGTTTAGAGTTTATCACTTATCTTTTAAAATGTCTAGTTGTAAAATTTTACATATTCTAAAGGAATTGTACAAAGCCTAATAAAGCTAAAGCATGACTGCCAAATTTTAAAAAAAAAATAAATAAATAAAGAATCGATACTATTTTTTAAATAATTTTCAATTAATGTATTTTTTTCAAAAATAATTTTAATTGGTTTATCTTCAATCATTTCTAATAATTTTTAATAATGTTTTGCATATTTAACATCTTGGTTATCAATAGTTTTTCAATTATTATTTTTTCAGTTATAGATATTTTTATTAATTGCATTAGATATATTATTGTTATTGATATGAGTTTTTAAGGGTTTATCAAAAGTATTAAAAACTTCAATTGCTTTAATAATACAATAAATTTGCAATTCCATAATTGAAACTTCTCTATTTGTAGTTTTATAAATATTTTTAGTTGGGTCATTTATACAATGAATACCGAAATTATAGTGTCATTTTTTCTAACTTTTGTATATAAACAAATTTCATCATTTTTATAATCGATTAAAAATTAGAGGGCATCACATAAAGTTTGCCGGATTGCCAAGCAAGAGTTAGTAATTATTATAGATAATAAATATAAACAATAAAAACTACTCTTACTAGTATTAATGATATTTCTTCTTGAGAAACATGTTTTTTCTTCAAGTAATTCGATATTTTCTGTATTTAAAAATAACTGTTTTAAAGAAACTCCATTTTCATTAGTTATGATACCATCTTTATAATACCATTTATTATTTTTAACTAATTTTTTATCATCTTCATCAATCGTTATTAAATTATCTGTTACTTTATCTTTATAATCAAATAACCGAATTTGGCAAAGAAAAGTTATTTTTCCTTGTATTTGTATAGTAATAGGTCTTCTAAAATTTTCATTTTTACCATCTCTGGACCAGGTAAAATTATTTATTTTTTTTTAAAATCAAATTTAAAAATTCATATCTATTTTATAAAATTATTTTTAATAATATAATTATTAATTAATAAATTTTATTAAATAACTATTTAAATTATTACAAGTTTAATATAATCGCTATTCATTAGTTAAAGCCTTTATAACTCACTCTAGAAGTTTTGAATTTGTCTTTATCTTTACTATGTTATTAATAATAAAATAATTACAAATATTACACAATATGTATTTATGAAAATGATAATGATAAATATAATCACACTCTTTCTTAATTTTATATAAATCAACAATGCAATGTTCACAGTAAATGTTTATTTCAGTTACATTTTTAAAATTAAAATATTTTTCACAAATTCGTTTATGAAAATCCATTATATACTTCTTTTTGAAAGGAACTAATTTTTTTTTTTAATCTTTTTTAAATTTTCTCCTATTAGGCAGAATATTGAATTATTTGTTTTTCGATAAATTTTTCTCTTTGTATTATTAGTAAACCAAATCCAACTATGATTTATTTTTTTGATTTCTTTATAATAAAACATATCTTTATCTTTTAATGTCATGCAATAGCTTTTAGGTTTAGTAATTCTATCAATAATTGGATTATGAAAATAGATATATCAAATATTTTTGTTGTATATCATTTTAAAGGCATTATTAAAAATATGACAGGTTCTCCGAATAAGTATTTTTTGTTTAAAGATTAATGGTATAAATTGAAAATTAATTACTATTATTTCTAAAGGAATTAAAGAAGGAAGTTAAATGAAAAATAATTTTTTTCCATGGTGAATAAATTATTTTAGTTTATTTTCAAAATATATTTAGTCTTATAATTTTATTAATTATTATTAATAATATTATTTTAACTTTTATATTATGTCAAACTCATTTTTAAATTCATAATTGGGAAAAACATCACGTATAAGCATGGGAGCAAAGCGACCTAATGCAAAATACAACAATGGCATTTCTCAATTATGCTACACTTAGAGGGATCATAAAAGTGAACCGGTTTTGCCATTATTAACAGCATTGATAATAGCATTATCAATAATGTTAATATCTCATTAATCTAAATTAACATTAAAAATTATTTATAATATTATAATATTAATTTAACTTTTAAATAATAAATAATAAAATCAATTTATGTATATTAATAATATTTAACATTTTAAAAATTTTAAATTTAATTTATTAATGAAAAATTAAAGGTAAAGATGTAATTGTGCAAATTGATGAATCTAAATTTAGTAAGCGTAAGTATAATCATGAAAGATAAGTTAATGGAGTTTGGGTTATTGGTAGTATTGAAATTACCAAAGAAAAAAGATGTTTTTTGATTACGATAAAAAAAAGAGATATTGAAACTATTCAAAAAATTTTAAAGGAATATATTGAACCAGAATTAATAATTTATACAGGTAATTAGAAAAAATTAAAATTATTTAATTTTATTATTATTTATCATATTTTTATTAATAGATTGTTGGAGTGAATACAACGGTATTGAAGATGAGTTAAATGTTCAACATAAAACCGTAAATCATTCTAAATAGTTTACTGATCCTGTTACTGGTGTAAACACAAATACAATTGAAGGAGTTTGGAATGGTGTTAAATTACAAATTGCTCCATGTAATAGATGTAAATATTTAATTAAAATCATCTATTTGAATATATTTGGCACAAAAAACACAAAAATGATTTATGGAATACATTTATTGAAGCATTATGTACAACTGCTTATCCGAATAATTAGTGTATAAATCTAGAAAATTCTTGTACAATGTGATTAAATTTAATAATCACAAAATTTAATATACCCATCATTCCTATTATTTTATACTTTAGCCTTTAAAACCAGGTTTAGGGTTTTAAAATTATTTAAACTAGTTTTAATGCAATTTGTATATAAATTATAAATATTGCATTTTTTATGTACTCCTTACATATTTGTATGTACCTCTCGCATAAACATACATGGTTATGCATAATTATGCATGATTGATTATGCATGATTATGTACAATTATATAAAGAGTATATAAAAAATGCAATATTTATTTGGTTTATATAAACCAACCTAGTTTAAACTAAGTTTTTAAACTAGTTATTTAGAACTTTATTAGTTGGTTGGTTTGGTTTTAACTACATATATCAAAGTTTAATCAAACCAAACCAAACCAAACCAAACTTCCCCATCCCTAGTATACACTATATTAATTATACTTCTATATAATTACCACTATAGAGAGATTTAACTACAGTATATATATATAGTATATTTAACAACCTATTTTCTGCACTATTAATTTCTAAAAAAATAAATAAATACAGTTAACCCTCTCTATAATCACACATTTTGTTTACTTAAGAACTTTTTAAAAAAAGTGCTTATAAAGAGGTTGTGCTTATATAGAGGTAGTTTTTTTTTGAGTATAGTATAGATTTTTATATGATGTGATTATAGAGGGGTGACTGTAGAGGGGGATAACTATAAATATTTAGTAAAGTAAAAAGTAAATATATACAATAAAATTATAAAATTGGCATTTTTATACGTACGTATGTACATATGTATGTATAACAAAATAAAGATTTAAATAATTTCGCGCAGGTTCAAATTTTGTTTGTTGCATTTAAATATATATTTTAAAAATAATAGTTTAGTTATATAAAAGTTTCTAACCAAATTTTTGCTTAAAATGATTTACAAATTAAAGAAATACATATGTTGTATCCCAGATACCGATATGTTCTATATATCAATCTGGCCTAATCAACCTAAACAAATTTAGACCAAGCATTTAGATAAAATTTAGCGAATTGACATCTGGGCTATCCCAATTAATAATTGAACCAAATTTACATTTGGGCATATATATATATGTATAATATCAAAGATAATAAGTTTTTGTACTTGAAAATCTCAAATTATATAACAACAAATTATATAAAAATAGATTATTAAAAGCAAAAAAAAATCGAGTAACACCTGCAAACCAGTTTTTGAAAGCAATTCATAAAGTCAAAATTGTGAAACAAAAGATTAATTTAATATTCAAATTATGTTTCTTACCAAATACCAAAAAAAAAATATATTGGCACACTAAATAACGATTATCCTTTCAAAGAAAATATTGACCCACACCAGCTCTCTGTGGGATTGACCTTTCTTGATCAGGAACAGCGTTAAAAATTTTAAAACTGCTTTCATCGATTTGCAAGTTTTCATTAATCGCCATTATAGATGCTACATTACCACAGCGATAACAATAGTTTGGTGCAGACCATACAGTAACCAGATTATCATCGGGAAACATATATTTATAACCCTCCTGTACCAGTTGATGCGCTCGAGCTATTAGATGTAAATCGTTAACCTGATTAAACTTTAGTAAAAAATAAATAAAATATGAATAACTTTTTTATAACTAATAACTGTATTTTTGTGAAATAACGTCCAAGGGCGCTATTTTTAATTTTAGCCTGCATTATTTCACAAAAATACGTCAACTCTATATAACGAACCGATGGTTCTGGACATGAAAAAAGGTCACTATAAAAAAATTATTATGGTTTTCTTTAGAAGTCATAACTCTCATTATACCGAATTAATATAAAATCCAATATTTTTAGTTCGTTCATTATAGGGAGGTTCGTTATAAAGAGAGTTGACTGAACTTATAAAATATAACTATTCGTAAATTTTTGAAATATACCTCATTTGTCACTTTTGCACCAAACAACCAGCCAGCCCCTCGTGGACTAACAGCCCACGTATCAATGTCTTCAGGATCAGACCACATTAGATCTACCAAAAGATAAATTAATCAGGGATGATAGGTAAAAATGGAAAAATATAGTAAATACATACCACAAAAGGCACCTTCATGTGGAATCTCCTGGGCTCTAGGTATTGTTCTTATCTGATCTAATGTTCGAACTTCGGGTGATAAGCCGCCATGAACGCACAAAATACGACCGTCAACAATCTAGAAAAGGAATCTGTTTTATTCCTCAAATATTGGAGAATAGACCAAATTTCAAAAATTGAATATGTAAACTTTTTCATACTCACAGCAGCTAAAGTCAAATAATCAAATACTTGACAACAATATTTCCAAACATTTGGATTTCCATATTTTGTTTGACATTCATCTAGCAATTTTTTTGTAATAAATATGAAATTCGCCACTATTATAATATTGAAGTGACAACTTTAATTTACCATAAAATCCATACACTTGCGTGATCTGCCTACTCTCATGATTACCTCTCAAAAGAGTGATTTTGTCTGGATATCTATGAACGTATTAAAAATGAAAATATGAAGTACAATAAAACTCGCGAATTTAATAAACTTATGAACTCCGTTGAATATTCATTCTCCCTTGCCTTGCTTTCAAAACCATCAATAGAGTGAATGTTTCTAAACTGTAATAACCTCTATCTACAAAATCACCCTGATTTTTTTTATTATTTATTTATTTTGATTTTTTTAACTATTAGAATACAGTAAATTTGGATCTATTATTAATAAAATTGCTCACCATGAATATATAATGGGTGTCAGGAATCTCCCCGCCAACATGGAATAATTCTAGCAGATCATAAAATTGACCATGAATGTCACCGCAAACTGTAACAGGAGTGTGCACAGGTTGTATATTGGACTCCTCCATTAATAGATCTTTAACCTATAAATAAAGCATTACTACATTATTAACTTCAGAAATAAAGGTGAGATCTATTTTTGTATATACGCAACCAATATACCATTTCACAAAGTTTTTTCATATCCGTTTCAGATAAAAATTGACATTTTTTTATTGTTATTAGCCATTCGTCTGGGCCGGCCATATTATTTTTATTTATTTTTTTAAAAAAAAGATTAGGTTTTTTGGAAGCGTTTATTGATTATTTTATAGCAGAAATTCATCAACATCGTTAACAGTTTAAAAAATTTTAACAGTATCGTTACCAAATATGTTCTGTGATCTGCAATACTATATTAAACTGCTGAACTGTAATCACCTAAATTCGGATTTTACTAATTTACCCCACTTTTTTATTGGACGATGATATTCTAATTGCTGATTGGATAATCTATATCCTCTTTTTTACTTATTAGAATCTAGATAATATTTTATTCATAATAGGACTTAATCATTTACCGCCATAGCGATGTATCACTATTCTCAGGTCTATGCCAAAATCTGAAAGCCAAAATCCCGAAAGTCAAAATCCCGAAATTTAATTACCGCATCACGTGATATCGGGTTCCAATATTCAAAGCCCGCTTACGTGGCTGATGCTGAAATTTAGGGTCCCCATTTAAATCTATAATATATACCAATACTACTATAACAAAACTAACCCTAAACCCTCTAAAAAAAATTAATACAGTAAATAAATTAAAAATTTTAGTATTGGCCAATTTTTAGCTGAAATCGGATTATGCTAAAATATGGGGTCTCTTTTTAAATCTATAATATCTACTAAAATCCAATATATATACTTTTTTATTAATAAAACTACCTTCTAACCCTAACCTAGTTCTAAAAAAAAAAACCACAAAAAAGGCTCTAAAAAAATTCTACAATTTTATAATAAAATATGAAAAATTTTTATAGTAGTATAATTTAATTTTAGCAAAATTTACTACAATTATTGTTATAGAATTGATATATACTGTATTATACAAATAAATTTGGTAAAAAGTTTTTATATACAGTAGAGCTTTTTTAAATATTTAAATTTGTAAAGTACAAATTATTTATACAGTATATAAATTTTTTTCTTTTTAAGCAATTATATATTTATTTATGTAAACTATATACAGTTGACTCTCTCTAAGTACATGTTTTCTCTATATACATGAAAATAGCCTGGTTCCAAGTTGGGACTTATAAAATAAGTGCATGTTCTATATTCTCTAAATATAAGTTATTTTCAAATTATATATATATAAATATTTTTTCTAAATGCATTTTTAATATATTAACCAATCAAATTTGAGAATATTTATTAGATAATAAAACAATTAAAATTTATATATTTTATTCCTTTTAATAATAATATAAACTAATAATATATAGATGTGACAACATAGCAAAGTAGTAGAGTTGTTGCTTCAAGTTTGTTGGCTATAAGTACTGAGTTCAAATCCTACTAATGATGCTTTGGATGATTTATTTGTACTATGGTAACAGTTTATTCTAAATGGGCTAGAGCTTTGTACTCTGTAAACTGGGGCATACCAACGCCTCATGATATGGATGTATTTGTATTATTGCACAAAAGAATACAAACCAGTATAAGATGGTGCAAACCCATAATTAGACATTCTAATCAAATAAGACTTACAGTAGGCTGAAGAACCGAAATCAGCTTGGCTAAGGAAGTAGTAGATTGATTTAACCAAGTGCGACCTGATACTACAGAACAGATCCAACTGGACTCTAAAAATTGGAGAAGTTGTGCGACAAAGATCCTTTGGGCAAAAGGGATCTACTAACCTAGTTGCCAGGGACACCTAATCATGACCTTTGGAGGAAAAGGTCATGTGCTATGAAATCATGAACCAGGGATTGACTACCAGACCTGAGCTTGGGAAACTTGGGTTCGACAGACCAATCCTTCTAGGCCTTTTGGATTTGAAAGTATAACGATACCAAAAGGAGTAGGGTGCAAAAAGTAATGGAATATAGTACAGAAATCTGTAAACCTTAAAAGGGTAGAAGTAGGTAATGGTAGAGGTTTAATGGTTAGCTCTGACCCCAAGTACATGAATTAAGGCATGGCATAAGTTACTGAAGTACAGGTGAATACATATATGAGAATGTACCACTCTGGCAGGTTTACCTCAAAAATAAATCAGGACATATGGTCCTGTTCTAAGTCTGGCTATTAATCTAGTAGTATCGCATAGATCCATGACATCTTGGTGTGCATGGTGAGGTTACACCTGGGTCTTAAGTCCCACATGGCAGAAATAAGGATATGATCAGAGGGTTTGAATAGATACCCCCCTAGTTGGGGTACAGATATAGCAGATAGTGTAGAACCTTCGGGCGGACTACTTAAATTAGGCACTTAAAATGTGCATGTATAGCTATATGTACTCTTATTGTATACCAAAATAAAACTTAATAATAATAAATCACTGTTAACAAAGAGGTTATCTTAACATCAAAAAAAAATAAATAAATAAATTAATAATATAGAGTGTAGTGATATAGCAAAGTAGTTAAGTAGTTGCACTTCAAGTTTGTTAGCTATAAATACTAAGTTCGAATCCTACTAGTAATGTTTCAAATAATTTACTTGTATCATGGTAATAGCTTATTCTAAATTGGGCTAGGTTTTATATCTGTAAACTAGAGCACACCAATGCCCCAAGTTGGTACTGGGAAACATGAATGCATTTGTGTTGTTGTACAAAGAAATACAAATTGGTATAGGCAGTACAAACCCATAATAAGACATTCTAGATCACAATGAGTTAAAGACCTACACATAGTAGCCTGAGAGAACCGAAACCGGCTTGGCAAATCTTAATTAAGGAAGTAGCAGATCAATCTAACCAGGTGCTACCTGATACTACAGGACAGATCTAACTAGATCTCAAAAATTAGAAAACTTGTATGACAAAGATCTTATAGGCAAGAGAGATCTACCAACCAGGCTGCCAAGTTATTTGAAAGAAAAGGTCATATGTTATGAAATTGTAGACCAAGGATTAGGAGCAGTGTTAAATATTTAATGTTTTCAGTGTTTTCAAGAACATTAAAATATTTTTGAAAACACAATTTTAAAAATTATATTCTTATTTGAGAACATAAAATTTGTAAATTGTATTATATCTAAAAACTTTTAAGAACATTAAAAATCTTTCTGAAAATCTAAAATTTAAAATTTATATTTTCAGAGAATAAAAAAAAAGTTTCAGATCTTTAACACTGATTAGATGACTTTCAAACTCGAGTCTGGAAAACTTAGTTTGGGCAGACCAATCTTTCAGAGCCAACTGAATTGAAAGAACAATGATACCAAAAGAAGTAAGGTGAAAAAAGTAATGGAATATAGTACAGGGGTTTGTAAATTTTAAAAGGGTAGAAGTAGATAATGGTAGAAGTTCAATAGTTAACTCTGATCCCAAATATATAAATTAAGGTATAGCATAAATTACTGAAGTCTAGGTGAATACATATATGAGAATATACTACTCTGGCAGGTTTATCTCGAGGATAAATTAGGACATACGGTTCTGTCCTAAGTCTGGCTGTTAATCTAGTGGTATTGTATAGATCTATGATGCACTAGTGTGCATAGTGAGGTTATACTCAGGTCTTAAGTCCCACATGGTAGAAGTAAGAATATAATCAGAGAGTTTAAATGAATACTTCACATAGTAAGGTGCAGGTATGGCAGATAATGTAGAACCCTTAGCATAGCACTACTGCTTTGAGTAAACTACTTAAATTAGATACCAAAAGTGCATGTGTAGCTATATGTACTCTCATTATATACCGAAATAATATTTAATGATAATAAATCACCATTAACAAAGAGGTCATCTTAATACTAGAAAAAAAAATAAATAAATAAACTAATAATATATAATAATATAATATAGTATTTTATAAAAATTATTATTATAAAAAGAATAAATCTTTAAAAATTAATAATGTTTGATCAAAAAAAAACTCTCCCCTGTAAATCCTCATACCAAATTTGAAGCTAAAAGAAAATATACAAAACAGCAATATAAGCACTAGATAGCAAGATTTTAAGGTCTAAGCAAAAAGAAGCGACACAAAAATCTATCTTAAAGTACTTAGAAACACACCTAGCCAGTTCTTGAAAAAGAGCTATAGAGACCAAATAGCTAGTTTTCGCAAAAAAATTTTAGAAAAACAACACTTTGGAGGAATCGGCTTTGATCCTGTAGCACAGAATACTGTAACAACAAACAAATATGTAATATGTCAAATACCCAAACAAGTAATCAATATGACTAATCAACAATTAGTATTGTGCAACAACAATCTTCACATGTAGCAATATAATACTGGTTTCTTCACATGTTAAAAATAGAAAGTTTTACCAAATTCAAAGATCTGTTTAAAAAAGACAAACAGAGCAATGAAGATCTATTTCAAGAAATCAAACAAGGTATTTTAATTAAGAATCAAAAGATTGCAGTATGGCTTGAAGTAGATGCAGTAGAATTAATAAGCCTTATTAGAAAAACAATTAAAATATTTAATTGGCTTAGACACAAAAAAGCAATAGAAAAAGTTTTATTAACAAATAAACTTAACCTTTATAAACAACCATTATATTCACAAGATCACAAAACCAAAAAACCAATTCACAAGAAATCAAGTATTAAAGAAATGTTACTTCTTACAAAATATAGAACAGTAGACTTCAGTGTCAAGAAAATATTAGACATAATTAACCCAGACTTAGAGCCAGAGGTAAATACCAACTCAAAAATCCAAAATACTGTATTAGATATTAAATTTAAAACTCAAGCTAAAGTGCAATCGGCTACAAGTTAAAGCAAGTTATAAATGTAGCAGAAAGTAGTTCTGAAGAGGTTACATCTAAATGATCTCAACAAGAAGTCTTCTTAGCTAAGAACATTAAAAGAAAACTAGTAAGTAACCTATATCAGACTATAGCTACTATTCTCCAGACAAAAGAAAAGCTATACAAGAGTTCAACATATATAACTTTATGAGATATACCAAATGAAACTAGAGCAAGCCAAATTAGAAGATATCTGGGCTTCTATAAAAGAGCTATAGTTAAACATTTCATGTCTAACAAGAAAACAAAGGTAGCACAGG